GGCCAGCCTGGAAACGAAGCGCTCGAGCAGTGTCCAGAATATGGCGATGTTTCCGCTCGACTACACCGTTCTGCTCGGGGGTGTCCGTGCACGAAGTTTGTAGCACAATACCTTCACTCTCATAGTAGGCCTGGAGTGCGAGGGTATTAAACTCAGGCCCGTTGTCAGCTTGGATACGTTTGAGTCGCCGACCATACTGCCGCCGAATCATCTGGTCAAACAAAAGCAAGTAACGACCTGCTTCGGACTTAAAACAAAGCAGGCAAACCCAAACACCACGACTATAATCGTCAACAATAGTAAGGAAATAATGAGCTCCATTGAGGGAAGCTGTTTTGTAACCGCCCCATATGTCAACGTGAATCAAATCAAAACACTGCTGAGTATTAATAGTGCTAGAAGGAAATGTCTGTCTAGACTGTTTAGCTCTAAAACATGAATCACAATGTTTATCAGATAATGAGGAAAGATCAAGAAAATCCCGCAATTGCTGCATTTTTGCCAGAGATGGATGCCCCAGCCGAGCATGCCATACTTCGTCAGAAACCCTGCTATGCTTCCGTGCCGCACAAGCCTGAGCTTGTCCAACTCCAAACATACGCAAATAATATAGACCATCACGCAACTCACCCTTCTCAATCAGCTTCTTGGAGAGTAAGTCCTGAATGACGAAAAAATCATCGAGAAAGATTAAAGGAACATGATTTTCATGGGCAAAACGGTTTACCGAAATCAGATTGCATTTAAATTCTGGGACATGAAGGATGCGATTAAGCACTAAACCCGGTTGTAATTCTACACTCCTCACATGACCACCGGTATACTAGCGCAATTGGGAATCCTTACCGGCGGACCATGTTCATGAAGCATCTTGCTTGTTAGAGTAGCATCATCCATAATAATATGTTTGTTACACCCGGAATCAAGCAACCATTCAGTTCCGGAAGAAAACGTACCTGCGAGGTATGCACTAGGATCATCAGCACCCTTAGTGTTGGTGCCAAAGAAGAGCTTGAGTTGCTCGAGCTGGCCAACGTGAAGCCAGCAACCGGGCTGGCATCATCCTTGTCGTGCTCTACCTGTGTAGCATGAGGAGGTCGGTCACGATCACGATCACGAGGGGCCCTCTTTCCAGCAGGACGAGGTTTGTTCTGCCACTGCGAATCGCCAGCTCTTTCGCGCGACTCACGCCCGTCACGACCATCACGAGACTCACGGTCGTCGCGGGGAGGAAAACCATGCAAGGAGTAGCAGCTCTCGCATAGGTGGCCTAGCTTTTGGCAGTATCTGTAGCGCGGCTTCTCCTTGCCCCCCCCCCCCCCCCCCGCTGTGCGCCCCGATCGCCCTCATTGCGAGCTTCAAAAGTAGCGGCCTCGACCACGGGACGACGGTTCTGGGTAATCAACTTCTGCTGCTCTTCGGTCAACGTGATGTTAAAAGCTTCGGCTAGAGACGGTTTTGGCTTCATTGCTAACACCTGTGTATGGACAGCTGAGAAGGCGTCATCAAGCCCCATGAGGAAATCAAACAAACGCGAGCTTTCCTGCTGCTCGCGGATCTTGAGAGAGACGCCGCATATGCAGCGACCGTAGGTACAAGTAGGAGTGGGCGAGATAGCTGTCGCCTCCTTCCAAAGGGACCGGAGCTTCGTATAAAAGCTCGAAACAGAGTGTTTAATAGCCAAAAAATATAAAATAATATAGTTCGTTTATGAAAGTTGATTGATTTTCTAACAATTATTTTCTTTATTTCCATCATTATATTTTGTTTAATTGATGAAAATATTATTGTTTATGTGTGTATTTGTTTAAAATTAGTAGAAATTTTGCTTATAAAATTTAATAAGATATTTTTTGTTTAAACAAATGTGATATATTAGTATATCACTCTACAAACATTAGCCTTCTTCTACAAACATAGATATAATACCAAAATAAAAGAATTATTGAATAAAAGAAAACACCATTAAAAGAAGAGAGAGATAACTCCACAAATAACTCATTAACTAACTTTTTTGCTTGTAAGAAAATTATCCACCTTGGCAACTTGTGAATTCTCCAAGTGCTTATGTGGCAAGAAGTTGTTTTTGAACAACCATAAGATAAGATAAGATAAGATAAGATAAGATGGTATCTAATTTATATCAAACTAACACCCCGATCAAATTAAATCATTAATGACTTGAGCGGTGCTTCACACACATATACCTATCCAAAAAAGTATGTCCATAGGAGTTCTCTCATAAATGATTCAACCAATATATACATAAACTATCATCTCTCTACTTTCTCTATCCATGTCTTTATATGTTTTTCCTTCGCCCATGGACTGGGAACGGATCAGGTCAATAACCTTATGGTGAGTAACAATGAGTAACCCGCCCATATCAGCATGACATCAGCATCCTCTTTCTCTTGGAAAGTCTTTAATTTTCCCCTCCTTAATCTTTGACGGACGATTTCTCACTCGTTTTAAGTTGAAATTTAATTTTTTTTTGCACAGTTAGATCAGATTAATTGTGCTCTTCAAAATGATATCCACTTTGATATATTTTTCGAACAAAAAAAATTGAGTCATTTTTTACCAGTCTATACCATATGGTATTGAAATAAGAGCATACTTATGGTTTGAAAAGCGTACCATGGTGGTATGAACAAACCAAGACTGTAGGATGATTGAATACATGATAGTAGAAGTATATTAATTGTCATTTACGACTTTTAACATTGTATACCATAAGATACCATAAAATACCACCCCGTACCAGGGTGGTATTGTATGGTATTTGGTGGTATTTTTTTGGTCTTGTAATTTGTTCACCCAGAAATTTGTAGATCCAATAGATCATGATGAACTCGTCCCTGCTGTGCAAACGTTTTCAAAAACGAATGAAAAACGAAGAAGATACCATATGGTATGCAGTTGGTACCGAGAGGCCAAAATTTTTTTTCCCTAAAAAAATATTGAAAATTGATCTCATTTTGTAGAGCACGATGAACTCGTTCCATCTGTGCAAAAAAAAATAAAATCCGAGTTAAAACAAAAAAAATATGAGTCAATTAAGAAAGCTAGTGAAAATAAAAATGACCTTTAATTCTCCATCCTTAGATCTGAATTTTCTAAATGAAGGGTCCAGATTTGGTTATTGATGGTGCATAACCATGAGTTATGCACCCTATCTTGAGCCCCATGGACTACTCCGAAAAAAAGTGTAGCTTAAAAATATATAACCCTTAATTATTTTGAATCCGATCATCTTTTTTTGGAAAGGCTCAAACTAGAAGGGGTGTTTTCCCCGGTAACAATTAAAAAAAAATTCTAAAATACAAGACTTATAAAAAAATTTCTCAAAATACCCAAGTTTGGATCGGTTCGAGTTCAATGGACTCAAACCACTAGTGGAATCGAGTTAGAGAGCCTCGATCGACTTTCTGAGGTAGTGGATCGAGTCCATTGAACTCGAACCACTGCGTTGAAATTTCCAATAACCTTAACTTTGTGCTCGGTTATCCGATCGTAGCGAATTGTTTTTGATTCCGCATAACTTTTCGAGTACTACAACTTTTTTCATAGAAATATTTTCAGAATGTATGTGGAAATGTGAAAATTAAGCTAACCTTATTCTCAAAACCCTTTATATCCAAAAAGATTTCCTATTTTGAAAATTTCATCGTAGTAAAAGTTGTAGGACTAAAAAATTTATGCAAAATCAAAACAAACTATGCGAATATCGGATTACGGAGCACAAAGTTATGATCGTCTAAAGTTTGGAAAAAATTGAAAAATTGGTTGTTTGGATTAGCAAATGACAATTTTTTCGAATTTGTCAAACTTTAAACGATCATAACTTTGTGCTCCATAACCCGATTGTAGTGAATTATTTTATATTTTGCATAAGTTTTTGAATACTACAACTTTTACCAGGAAGAAATTTTTAAAATAGGAAATCTTTTTGAATATAAGGGGTTTTGAGAATAAGGTTAGCTTACTTTTCACATTTTCAGATAAATTCTGAAAATATTTCTATGAAAAAAGTTGTAGTACTCAAAGAGATATGTGGAATAATTTTTTTCCCACTACGATCAGATAACCGAACACAAAGTTAAGGCTATTGAAAATTTCAACGCAGTGATTCGAGTTCAATAGACTCGATCCACTACCTTAGAAAGTCGATCGAGGCCCTCTAACTCGATTCCAGTAGTGGTTCGAGTCCATTGAATTCGAATCACTCCAAACTTAGATATTTTTGGGTATTTGGAGAAAAAAATCCAACCAGAAGCATTGAGTTCTATAAATAAACAAACCTCAATGATAATAAGAACGAGGTAACATGATACCATATGATATCGAGTCAACTGCGCACAACATAGTAACTGGGCCAATAAATGCAATAAAGGTGGAATTCAGCTCCCCTGCGCCCGCGGTAACAAAGAGAGACGAAACCCACAAAGGAGACAAAAGGAAAAAAAGAAGCCCAAATACGCACAGTATGAACAGATTCATCTTTCCTCCAAAATGGCTTGGCAGCCATCATGAATGCAGAAAGAGCATTGGACGAAAGGGGACACAGAGTCCTGACCGGAGAGGAACACAGTAACGGCTGTAATCAATGCATGCGATCCAACCCCAACTTGATTCCGAGGATCTGCCCACTGCGAAAAAGTGCTTCTTTGTTTTCTTATGCTCGCTGCTGATGTGTGGACCCTGAATTAGTTCCCGGTAGTCTGTTTTTGTCCCCCTGTTTAATTTCCCAGTTGCAGATTTTTAAATTGCTGCCCCAAAACTGGAAATTCTAGTTTGCACCGTTTTAGCTTCTGGACTTTCCACTTGTCTGCATTCATGATCAATCCAAATCCAAGTCACATTAATTAATTAATTGAATATCCTTCCTTCCACCGCTACGTTTCCCTCCAACAAACCTATATAATAACCAGCTTCTTCTACCCACGCCTCACAATTAATATCAAACACTTCACATTTTCCCCCCATCTGAAAGGGAAATGGCTAGGAAAGAATCAGACAGCAGCTCCTTCTCCATGGGGAACACTGCCCAGGAGCAAGCCCTGCCTTATGTGCCTGACTGTTACGTCCTGCCATCATCTTCTGACCGCCGGCCGTCGGCCGATGATCGGACGGCTGATATCCCCGTGATTGACATGGGCGGGTTGAGGCTGCAGGATGCTTCCCAGAGGGCCAATGTGGTCAGGCAAATTGGCAACGCCTCTCGCCAACTAGGTTTCTTCCAAGTAAGCATCAACTATACTTTCTACATTTTTCTAATACGGACATTTTCATTATGTTCTGTCCTAAAGTGGAATTCAAACGTTTGAAACCAACATATCACGTATGCACAAGATATTTTGCATGCACAAATGTTTTGCGATATATTAATTAGCGAGACTTTGTGTTCATTGGGGTCCTTCAAAATTCATTAATACTAATACGAGAAATTTTACAATGCTATATAGTATTGGTGCTATTGGTTTTTTGCTTTTATGGTACAACTTAAAATTGTACATTTACGTTATGGTACAACTTCAGATTGTACCTATACTTTTGGGAAAAATTCTTTTATGCTACAACTTGAGCTTGTACCTTTATGTGATGGTACAACTTCAAGTTGTAAAGTTGTACCATAACATAATGATACAAATTGCTTTATGGTACAACCTAAACTTATACATTTAATGTTAAGGTACAATTTTAAGTTGTACATTAAAGCACCAATGCTATATAGCATAATAGAAGTGCTCAAGCGTCCTGAACTTGAATAATTGTACAAAACTCTATGTATCTAAAGGGTTTTGTTACCAATTTTTTTGGCCAAGTGGGGTCCTAGCTAGGACCCCTCTCCTTAACACTTCCCTCCGCCGCCACTGCATACAGGAGCTACCTTAGTGGCAGGAGCAATTATAAGCCCCCTCAACTCTCATAATCTTGTAAATTACATGCAAAATTTTGTAAGGGTGCGTTTGGATAAGTGTATTTTAAATGTAAGGTATTTGAAATACTAGCATTTGAAATGAATGTATTTGAAATATTAGCATTTGAAATACATGTAATTCAAATTCATTGTTTGGATACTCATTTGTAATTTGTTTGTATTTTGTATTTTACGATTTTCAATTTGAATTTTTAAATTTCTAGTCACTTACTACAAATTTTGGTAAATTACAGTTTGGTACCCAAATTTATTTTTTCTTACAATTTAGTACCTAAAATTTTAAAATTTTACAAAAAGGTCCTGAAATTTTGATGGTAAAATTACATTTTGGTACCTTTATATGTTTTTCCTCACACTATAGTACCTAAACTTTTCATATTTTACAAATAGGTCCAATTTTTTGTTATGAGGTATTTCAAATCACTAGTTGTTGAAATGTATTTGAAGTTGACAAAAAATACACTAGACGTGTATTTGGAAATCACCCCATGAATTTGACACAAATCCAAATACCAAATGTAATTAATATCCAAACACATGATTTGGTATTTGGAAATCCAAATCACAAATACCAAATCCAAATCATTGTATCCAAACGCACCCTAATAAATTTTCAAAATATAGTAGTTGAGAAGACGTTAGCCCCCTCACCAGTTCAAATTCTCTATGCGTAAATTTTGTAGTTCCTCTCGTTCGAATTTCCGGTTTTGCCCTGCAGGTTGTGAATCATGGGATCAGCAAGGCGGTGATGGAGGCGGCGCTGGAGGCGGCGGCGGACTTCTTCAAGCTGCCGGCGGGGGAGAAGGCCAAGTTCATGTCCAACGATGTTTTCAAGCCGGTGAGGTACGGCAGCAGCATCAAAGACGGGGAGGACAAAGTCCAGTTCTGGAGGGTTTTCCTCAAGCACTACGCCAACCCTCTCGCCCACTGGATTCATTCCTGGCCCCAAAACCCACCTCACTACAGGTACGTAACCTACACATGCATCTACCCCTTTCACTCAGTGACGAAGCTAGGTTATATCCAGGAGTGGCTATAGCTAAGGGTGGCTATACGGTCCGGTCCGGTTAAATTGGACCAAATTGATCCGGTCCCAGTCCGGTCTTTTCGGGAATATAAGGATCAAAGTTGGATTGGATACAGTCCGGTCTTGACCCGGTCCGATCCCAATTTGATCTTGATTTTAGGTGTTGGGGGTCCCTTATCCGGTCTTTATCCGAGTTTTTACCTCAAATCTAAGTCCGAATATGAGATTGGATTGTTTGTTATTCGGTCCCAGCCAGGACCCGATCCGGGTTATACAGTTCCGTTTCGGGTAAAACCAAACAGTCCGGACCAAATAGCTAGCCCTAGCTATAGCGCGACGAAATTCATTAAATAAATTAAAAAAAAAAGACGTCAGAGACCAAGAAGTTAACCCTATATATATATTGACCAGAACTTCCTCGAAAATTGGAAAACAAATTCTGGTTGCCTTCTATAATTAACTTGATTGATTTCCTTCCTTTTTTTTTAACAAACTCACATGGAAATTGCAATTACTAGTCTCCAAATTCCAAATACTTTGTTCTTTGCCCAGCTATAGAATAGAACATTGTCTATATGCAGAATTTGTCATTTTTTACATAAATGCATGCAATTGGCACGCCGTCATCTGATCGGTCAGTGCGTTCCCCTTAGAGAGAGCTCGATCTCTGCCGTGATGTCATTGCTACATTTGATTTTTTATTTGATTTTAATTTTTTATAAATGAAACCGAAATCACTCTTTCTTCAAGTCGCAAATAAGATCCTAATTAACGTAAACATTATTAATTGTATTATTATTATGTACACGTGGCTACCAGGGAAAGAGTTGGCGAGTACAGCAAAGAGGTGAAAAGAGTAGCCCTAGAGATAGCGGAATCGATAACCGAAAGCCTCGGGCTCGATCCGACGTCGTGCCAGCTGGCACATAGGCTGGACGGGGGAATGCAAACGATGGCGGTGAACTGCTACCCGCCATGCCCTAGCCCGGAGCTTGCCCTAGGCCTCCCGCCTCATTCTGACTACTCTTGCATCACCGTGGTGCTCCAGAGCACCCCGGGCCTCGAGATCCTCGACCCCAGGGATGGGACCTGGAAGACCGCACCAGATACTCGGGGCGCCCTCCAGGTCCACATTGGGGATCACGTCGAGGTCCTCAGCAATGGAACGTACAAGAGCGTGGTGCACAGGGCTGCCCTTAACTCGAGGAAGACGAGGATATCGATCGCTAGCTTGCATAGCCTTGGGATGGATGAAAAAATGGGAGTTGCTAAGGAGCTTGTTGGTGGTGATGAAGGGAAAGAGAGGTACAGAGAGAGCAGCTTCAGAGACTTTCTGGATTCGTTGTCGAAGAATGACATTGGTACACAAGGGTACAAGAGCTTTATTGATACGTTGAGGATCGAGAAGTGATCGTGGTAATATTGGTAATGATGCTTATTCTTGTGCAACTGTAGTAATGTGAAAGAAGTAGTATTGTGACGAACTAAGAATTAATGTGCTAGCTATTATTTGTATTTTCCGTTGCATTGTGGGTCAGTCATGGGTGATATATATTTTTTCCTCGTGTTCTTTGCAACAGGATAAGTATTACTAGTGTGTTATTTTTCTTCTTTGTAAGGATGGCCTTTTCCAGGGATCTACGTGCTATATATGTTACAAAAATAATAATAAAATGCATGGAGATGGTTTCTGTGCATGAAATGTGTCATTTATTAGACAATGCGTTGTTTAATGATAAAAAAATTGCAATTTGTAAATATATGAATTATTTTCAACGGTTGTTTGAGCTTGTAATGGGAGTTCAGAGTTGAGGGCAATGTGATTCTGATACATATGTAATACAGGGACGGAGCCAGAATTCTCAATTAGGAGGACGAATGTTTTTTTCAAGCATACTGGTAATCAAATTTTATGAGAGAATCTTAATTAAATACAAAGAATTCACAAATTTTTTAATATATTGCCCTTAAAATTATGTCGAAATTTAAAAAGTAATGACTTATCTCATCTAAAATCATGATAAAAGAACCATGTATTTCAAACATAATATATTTACCAATTTCATAAGGGCGAAACTTAGTAGCAAACTGGGTTGTTGGCGGTGGCTTTTGCCAGCCCATGTGTCACACTGTGATTAGGTCAAAATTAATTGTTTATAAAATTGATTATTGAGGGTATCCGCTTTCATTTTCTTTTAGCCCTCATCCACCGCAGATGAGTTTCATTTCCTTAATTTTCTGTGGTTTTTTTTTTTTATGGCAAATTCTTGGAACCGCATCGGTTGCAACTAATGTAAGAAAAGAGTAACTAAGCTTTTTACGTTCGCCATAAAATAGTTAAGAAAGCACATTTCAGATTGGAATATATATATATAGAAAACTAAATAAGAGATGACCAAATTTGGGTTGGTATTCTGAGTACTGTTTTGGATGTAGAAACTATATATATATATATATATATATATATATATATAACATTCAACAGAAATTAATTAATTGCAGAGCGATTAGCTGATCAAGGAAGCAACATGCACACAACTCGCCCGCTAATTGAAAGAAAACACATTCTGAAAGGGTTAATCTGTGTATGAATACTTGTATATATCACGTGGGAATATTGAAGAAATACATAAAATAATGAACAAGGGGAAAAAAAAATAAATAAACAAATACATTCTCCAGGTGATGACGCGAGTATTCTCTGCTGATCTCGATCGACCACTCCGATTAAGTAATTAACCAATCAATTAATTATATTGATGAATGATTAATTAATGATCAGTTCCGTCTCCAAATGAGAATCTCGTCAAGTTTCCTGCGGCCGCGAATAGCTCTCTTCGAGTCGGCTTCAATGGGTAAGAATCCCGTCTGGGTCCCGTCGCTATCGTGGTCGCTATCCCCTTCGATGGTCAATCCTTCGATCCTCGTCGCTATGGAATCTCCTTTCATCCCATCTGCACATTGATTTAAATTAATTTTGATTGGAAAAAAAGGGATTAATTAAATTAATTAATAACAAAATGTTACGTTACAGATCTAATGTAATACGAAGATATATTACGGGGATTGCAGAAGAACCACAAGATGAATCCGCAGATGATTAGGAGGAAGGGGATGACGTGAACCGCGTTTTCGGCGAAACGGCGGGACTTCTCCTTCTTGGCCATCTCGACGGTGGGATTGTACATGGGGAGCTCGTTGTCGTCGGCAGCCGAAGAAGAGACTCGGAGGCCCGACGAGGCCGCCATCGGCGTCGAGTGCATGAAGTAGTCATCCGGCGGGCCCCGCGTCCAGCTTGCCGATCTGTGCATTTTCTCGTTTTTATTGCGATTTCTTCTTCTTTCGAGCTTCTGGGGTGGAGAGAGAGAGAGAGAGAGAAGGGGAATTTCTCAGGAAGACAAATGAAGAAAACTATAACGGAATAAAAAGGCTGGGGGAGTTATAATTTATACACACTAGACTCGATTCGATTGGATTGGATTGCATTTGTAGTAACTCTAATAGTTTTTGGATGTTGTCTGTAAGCGTTAGAACTTAGAACTATACAGAAGTAAATTTCACATCGACAAACTAGTACAGAATTTCATGAACTATATACAATAATTATTATATTTACATATGTATAATCATAAGTTAATATAATTGTTTCTTATAAAAAATTACGAGTAGTATAAAAAAAAATCTCTCTTTTTTTTCCCTAGCAGGTACTGATCACGCGGTCTTTTTTATCCCTTGTACCAATTTCATTACAAACAAATTTTTTTGTAGTCATTTGTATATGTATTTTTCTTTTGTTACCCGTCGTCTACACTCAATTCTAAAATGAAATGCTTTGAATACCACTAATTCGGGATAGACAATTTTGCCTATACCCATGGGTTTTTTTACTATCCAACCCAATTGGGTTGGGTATGAAATTCAAATAGATGGATATGGGTAGAGGTTGATGGGTTTGTACCCATACCTAGGGCTGGGAATCCGGTCTCGGTTTTTCGGCCAAACCGGAAACCGACCAGTTTAAACCGTCCCGGTTGTAACCGGAAACCGGATTCCAAGTAACCCAATCCAGTTTGCGGTTGCAGTGGTCACAGCTAGGGCTGGCTATTTGGCCGGGACCAGATGAAAAAACCGGAAACCGGACCGTATAACCCGGACCGAGACCGGACCGGGACCGGATAGTAAACAATCCAATCCAATCTTTGGGCTTAGATTTGAGGTAAAAAACCGGATAAAGACCGGATAAGAGAGCTCAACCTTCCAAAACTTAAGGGTAATTTGCATAAACGGTCACAAACCTTTGCACTTAGTACAAAACTTAACCAACTCCTCACCCTTTTAGGCCTTAGGCCACTCAAATTCCCACAATCTCAATATAAAATCAAGACCGAATTGGGACCGGACCGGGTCAAGACCGGACCGGATTCAAGACCGGACTGTATCCAATCCAATCTTCGGTCCTTATATTTTCAAAAAAAACCGGACTGACCGGATCAATTTGGGCCAATTAACCGGACCGGACCGTATAGCCACCCCTAGTCACAGCCCGGTCCGATCCGGTTAAAATCGGAAAAAACCGGATAGCCCAACTTGAGCCCACCCCATCTCCCCAGCAAGCCCACCTCTCTCTACAATTTAATTAGGCCGGAGCCATCTACAGGCCCACCAACCCTCCCAAACCCCTAAAGCCCGACTCCACACACCCTACATTCGTCTCCCTCGAGCTCACACTCAAAGGCGCAGCCGCCTTTCTTCGATCTCTTCCCTTCTCTCCAAATCTCTTCCAACGGCAAAGCCAAAAACCACCCTCCCATCTCCCAAATCCACTCTATCTCACTCACCCTCTCTACTTGCCTCTCATCCGATTCCATGGCGGCGGCGGCGGCGACACCAAGACGATCGATTTGGAGCAACCGCAGCTCTGCCTCTCTCTTCTCAGTCTCACCAGCCGATTTGAAAGCGCCATCGCTCTGTTTCTCGCCCGGATCGAGACATGCATGACCTGACCTGCCTTCCTCTGGATTTCTCCTATATAGAAACATGCAAGACCCGCGCACGACGACGACGGCGATGATGGAGGCAGGGAGCTCTTCGGCTTCCCTGCGCGCGACGGCGACGAAGCTCTTCGGATTCCCTGCGCGCGACGACGACGAAGCTCTTCAGCTTCCCTGCGCACGACGGCGATGAAGAAGGCAAAGAGCTCTCCAGGGAGGAGAAAAGGCAGAGGAAAGATCGAGAAAGAATGGGAGTAGAGAAAATTTTGATTTCCAGAATAGAGAGAGATTGAGAAAGGTAGGGACTAGGGAGTTGTCGAGAAGTGGAGGAAGGAGATATCTTAGATCCCTCTTTTCATTTTTATTTTTATTGATTTTTATTTTTCTTCCTCAATTTTTATTCAAACGACAACGTTCTGGGAGAGGTTAGATGCCAGCCCAGTTTTCGGTTTAAAACCGGATCGAACCCAATCCGGTTACGGTTGAAACCGGATACAATCCAATCCCGTCTCCGGTTGTGGTATTTGCCAAAACGGTTATAAAAAACCGGGTCAATCCGGTCCGGTTTCAACAAATAGATTTGGGTTTGTACCCATGCCCAAATGCAAATTACAGTTTGGTACCTAAAACTTAATAGATATGCATATTTAGTACCTAAATTTAAATTTTTGCATATAAGTCCTCAAAATATCGATGGAAAATTACGTTTTGGTGCCTAAATTTTTTAGGTCTTACATTTGGTACCTAAACTTTTCAAGTTTTACAAATAAGTCCAATTTTTGCATGTGTAGTTAAAACACCCTCAAGTAAATGGATATCCATATCCAACCCATACCCATTTAGATTATGAAAGCAATATATATACCTTACCCAAACCCATCTACAAACCCCCAAACCCATATGCATTTCACCCATACTCAACCCATTATGAATGGGTTTACTTGGATTTGGGTATAATTACCCATGGATGGGTAATTGCCATCCCTACCACTGATATATGAGAATTGGGGAGTTCGTATCGCTAAAGTGAAAAAATGGCCTCGTGTGACACTAAAATCGGAAAATTGTGCATTTGTCAACAATTTCATTCATCCACCGCTAAAAATTGAATACAATAATTTTTTCCAAAAAATATATAAACGGGAGAAGAAAAAAAATAAAGAAACTATTATGTTCCGATATCATCTCCTCCGTTCTACTCCACCCCAAACAAATTCAGACATGCAAAAATCATCCCCTCCGTTAAATCTTCCACAACAACCTCTTCCTGACCACCATCAAAACAATCAAGCCCGAGTCTGAACTCATCTACATCTTCACAAATCCTTTGCCCCGCCACCTATTCAGCTCATCTTTCCTTTCTAGGACAAACGAGAAAAGGTGAGTTTGGAGCAATCAAATATTGTGAAATATATCTTGCAGAAACAATGATCAAGAATAGAAGAAAGGTCCAACAAATCAGGTGATCCAACACATTAGCCACTGCAGGTTTTGTGAAAGTTTAGAAGAAGAAGAGGATCACAAACTATGATCGAAATCAAATTGGTACTAGAACTCTGTGATTAGCGATTGTGCGAAGTAGTGGTTACTTCTCTCTGGGATTGCTCGAGTGATAGTAGTGCGGAGACACTTTCTTTAGATATATATATATGATTGTGTATAAGAAAATTCATTTGATTTCTGTTTCGTGGGCTGTACTAGGGTTTGAATTCCACCCAAAAAAAAAAAAAAAAAATTCACTTGTGGTTAGACTGAGAAATAAGATAAACTTTCTACCAAAAAAAAAAAAAAAAAAAGAAATAAGATAAACCCTAGCTAGGAAAGCTATATCTAAAAGGATAGCCACCTTTGAGTCGAGGTCTAAGCAATAGACATAACTCAGCTAACAAAAAAAATTGTGTCCACTCTCTGGCTCTATGCTATTTGCCAATATCGTGCTTGCTCTACTTTCCTCTATTTCTCTGTTTGGTGATATTACAGGGACGTCTGGAGAAGTGGGAATGATTTTGAAGGTAAGCATGCCTTAACTAGACAGATCACCCTGTGGGTTGATGTTCTCGAAACCCATTTAAGACAAAAATAATATTGACCAATGACTCACTTCGACTATCACAATAAATCCCATTTAAGGTCCAAGTATAAACCTTAAATGAGTGCAATATAGGGCAAGTATGTTTAAATATCGATTCGGGCCGGCCCATGTACCCCTACTTTGATTGTTTGAAACATTATCTAGCGGATTGTTTGATTTGCGAAAATCTCTACAATCTACTGCTCAAAAGCAAGACTTGAAAAGTAAAGTGGTGGAAAACTCTTGACGAGAAGCTTCACTCGGGTGTTACTTCCCTCTAACCAACTACCATGAACCGTGAGATCGAATGAATCGGTGTGTGATAAGGCGATTGTGAGCCGCTAGGAGAGACAACAATGGTTGGAAACCACCTCTCAATTGCTAGGCTAAGGAAAGCATTATAGGCTACAAATGTATCCCTCTTGGCCCAAGCAATTGAGGGTTGCCTTAACTTCTCCCTCAAACCGGGGTTTGGTGCGGCCAAAGCACAATTAACCTAGATGCTCGATTTGAGTTTAGAGATTTGCCCTACATTAACCTAGTTAGGAGGTATGAAAAACCTAGGAAACCCAACTCAATTAGAGTCTCTTTAGAAAAGGGGGATTTCCCTCTAAGCTAGGTTAGAATAGCACAATAGATTGCAAGGCACACACAATGCACAATCACCATGAAAGATACCTCAAATCTCAAATTAAACATCGCCCACACACAATCATTCAATCTATACAAGTAGCTACATGGTATAAGTTAGGGTTCTACAATATCCAAGTGAATAGGAGACTACTCCATGCTAGAAAAAGGAAGAACACAAAGGAAAGGGGAAAAACTATCATGGATGATGCATAAATCCTCCTTTTTGCTTGTAGAGATCCTACCTTGAAAAGGAACTTCCCAATTCTTGACTTGGAGTAAACCCTAGCCTCTTCTCCTTCTTGGTTCATGACTTTCTCTCTCTAGGTTTTCAAGAGAAGAAGGTTTCTCTCACTTTGGGCTCTCCCTTCTTCTTTCTTTCAGCTCTATATTTATACTCAAATCGCTCCCAGTTCACACATCAGGCAACGACCGTGAACTTCGAGCAAAACGTGCCGCTTCACTTATGGGGTTCACGGTCCATGACCCCAGTTCACGGTCTTTAGCGACCGTGAACTGCCTCGGCATCAGTAACCTCGGAAACCCTCTGGACGCTTCGCGGTTCACGATTTATGGTTCCACTTCACGGTCGTAGCGACCGTGAACTCCAAGTTTTGACTGTGAATTGCGACTAAAAACTCATCTTTGCTCAGTCTTTGCTCCTTTTCTTCCAACTTTCGAGTCCGGGGTTGGTTTCACCTGTTA